AGTTATATCTTAGAAACATTAAATAAAAACTAAAACCCTCCTGCTCTTTGTTGGTCTACAACTTATATAGAGTTACAAAGGTGAAGATTTATAACAAGTCTAGGGGCCAGGGCCTGCCTCGAAAGCACAAGGTCCTGAGTTTGATCCCCAGTACCAGAAAAAAAAATTGATAGCAAATCTCATGCCTAGCATTATGTATATTTTTTTATCATTGAGTTTACTGGTACATTTTAGGTATGCAGTACAGTTACATTCATCATTGGGATCTTGTGCCTTTACATGACAGGTCTTGGTTCTCATTTAAGGAAGGGCAGGGGTAAGGGGAAAAAAGGAGCACTGTGTATATTAATTTGCACAAGTATCTTAAGATCTTGATATAGTGTATAAGCTCACTTAATGTAATTTTTCCCTTTCTCTGCTTATGATTTGTTATCTCCATCCATAACAGAAAGAAAGATAAGTAACTCAGCATTGGAGAAATATGAAGAGCAAATTTCTTGAGTTTTGAACACTTGTTACTTTTTAACAAGGTCTCCTACAAGATCTCTGCTTTATCACTAAAAATAATAAAACAATTCTGCTAACAGCTGCAGAAATTATTGACAGTATTTATTCATTTCCTTAAATCTTTCTATATCGGAAGATGAGCAGGATTCAGACTAGGTTAATTTTCTCTACAAAAATAATACTTCCTAAATATAAAAAAATTTGGACAAGTATCTGAATTATTTGATTTGGTTTTGTGAGATAAGGTCTTACTATGTAGTTCAGGCTAGCCTTGAATTCACTGTGTAGCCCAGGTTGGCCTCAAACTTGAGGCCATCCTCCTGCCTCAACCTCCAGAGAACTGGGATTATAGGTCTGCACAACCATGACCAGCTTGAAACAATATTATTGCAGGACATGATGGCACATGCCTATAACCCCAGCACTCAGAAGGTTGAGGCAGGAGGATTGCCGAGAGTTAAGGGAAGCCTAGGCTTCATAGTGACTACAAGGCCAGCCAACACCTTGTCTCAATAAACATATATAATTATTAAATATAGTCACTATCCTGTGCCTTAGAGCTCTAGAACTATACTCATATTATATAACTGAAACAACTTTGTACCTTGTATTCTTGAAATTTGCTTAGAGGATAGATCTTAAGTGTTTTTATCATACACACAAAAAATGTTGAACTATGTTGACTGGCTTGATTGTCATTTGTTGATCATATGAGATATATTATATCAGACATATATAAGGTAAATAAGTTGTTTACCTTCAATATATATACTTTCAAAAACTGCAATTTCCCACCAAATAAGTTGGACAAACTATTTTTGGTTGAATTTCAATTATGACATCCTATTGAATTATTGAATTTATTTTTTTCCAGATTTATGGAGTATAATTGACAAGTAATATTTAATGTGTACAACATGTTTCAAGATTTATATATGTTGTGAACTAATTAATGTATCTGTCATCTCATAGTTCTATAGCAATTCTAAATTTCATCCTCTTAAAAACATTTTATAATAGCACAGTCAAAATACTCTTAAACAGAAAAAAAATGTGTTCATCATCTCACTCCCAGTGACAGATAAAAAGTTACAGTGGTGCCTTAATTCACGAAGTTAATTCTTTGCACAATTCTGGTCACAAACCGAATTGGATGAGAACTGAATCAAATTCAGTGGTTAGGTTAAAGGTTGACCTTATGGGGAAATTTGATTTGGTTCTTGTCTAATTCGGTTTGTGACCAGAATCATTGTGAACTGAGGTACCACTGTACAGGAACACCATTCTAGTTGATTTCTCAATATTTTTATACATAAATACATTTTTGAAAATACAAAATTGGCAATGTCATGTATACTGTTCTTTAACCTGCTGTTTCACTTAATGGAGTATAGGGACAAACTATTTTGAAATTATTAGAATCTGATTTGACTGCCAATTCTAAGATTTTGTAAACCATAAATTAGAATATAAGTAACAATTCTTAACATTTTTCAGTTCATTAAACAGATACTTAATGCCTGCAATTAGCCATGTAAAACTTTTCAAAGAATATAAGAAAAATATAATATACTGCCCTAGTTGTAATATAATCTGGCTTTGGTGGAAGGATAAAATTATTTAATGTCAGACAACTAGAAAATAATACAAAGCAATATTAATGAAAGTATTAATACTTAATAAGTCCTTACCAGATGTCAGACGTTGTTATGAGCACTTAGTATATGTTATCTTTTTGTTTTTGTTGTTTGTTTGTTTTGGTACTGGAGATTAAACTCAGACCTTGTGCTTACAAGGCAGGTGGCGGGAACACTGAGCTAAATCCCCAGCCCAGTGTTATCTTGCTTATTACTAAAACCTGACTCTTTGAGGTTATTTCATTGTTAATATTCCTATTGTGTATCTTACCAAGGAACACAGTCAATGGCAGAGCTAGGATATAAGCCCAGATCTTTCCTTTAATGACGTACAATAATTATACATATTTGTGAGGCTTAATAAAGGGTGATGTAGAGGAAGTGAATACATGTGTTCGATCTATAAAGAGTAAATAAGGATAACTAGCATTTATGTCTCCTTAAACATTTATCATTTCATTATTTTGGAAAACTTCAAACTCTTTTCCTCTAGTTCTTTATAAAATAAATGGTAGTCTCCTTATTGAGCTGCCCAACACTAGGTCATACTCCTCACACCCAGACAGATAAATGGTATAGCTCCATGTGATTTGGATAGTTAAGTTAAATCATTTCTCTTTATTTCCCCAAATTTCTGCATAATTGACATATCAGACTCCAGAACAGGTTTACTTTTTGCCTTATAGGCAAATTATTTCAAAATTGATTTTGATCATATTTCTTTATATACTATGTTTATATCTGATGAATAAGCTTTGTAGTTTTCTTGAAAGGTACACCCAATCAAATAAATAAATTTAGGAAATCAGGAGTTTGATAAAAATACATCACTTCTGCCAGAAAAAAAAAGTAGGTAACTGAAATTATCAAGACTTCTATATACTACATAGCTCCACGAGTAGAAATAGACTAATCAGAGAAAACAACGAATGTTACTCTGCCCATACAGTGAAAATGTGATACAGTACATAGGAAATTTCTTCCACAGTTGCAAACCACAGGTAGGAAGATAAACATCTTAGGAGTTCTTACCGCCTGCGTTTTATAGCATCCTTGTCCACAGAAAGAGAAAGATAATACGTTATGGAAAAACCATAGACTTTACAATCAGTGGTCAAAAATAACTCCTTAGTTCAGCAAGGAACTACTACATCCAATTGGGTAAGACTTCACTAAGAAGCTGAATCTGTTCTAGCTTTTGAAAGGCAGAAGCTGAGAAAGGATATTCTATGTAAAAGGAAGGCAGGTGGACAGTAGTGATTTCTCAGCTGGCCTCTCTTCTTCGTATGTTCGGTACCTCTACCATTTGTCTCCGAGTCTGAGTTAGTTTCTAAAATATTCTCTTCCTCTCTCTTTCTAAACAGCTCTTCTCCTGAATATCTTGGCTTATTCTGCTATCATGTATCCTTTCTTTGGAATTGCTCAGAAATACTGATAGTGCTGATACCAGCACCTCAGACTAGAAGGGCAGGAGGTGAGCGTAAAAGATTTAAGTTAAGAAGATTTGGAAATGGGCTGATGGTTCACAATGTGAATGTATTAAATGCCACTATTATATACTTGAAAGGCTTGAATTGATAATTTTAGGTGTACTTGAGCACAATAAATGGAAGAAGAAAAAATTATCTAGAGAAAAGTCCTCTGTACTAAATTCATGAGGCTTATTTTTTATTGTGAATCTTAGTGCAGATTGGTACAGTCTTCAAATAAAGATCAGCTTATTTCAGAGAAAATTTATATCAATAAAAGTAATAAAACAAGTATGGGTCAATTTCTCAAATCATTTGGTCTACTTAAATATTTCTCCCTGATGCCTCTGAAAATCAAGTGGAAGATGTTAGGTTTGGTGGTGCAGGCCTGTAATTCCAGTGTTCTGAAGGCTGAGGAACGATTCTAAATTTGAGCACAAACTGAGTAACTGGGCAATTTAGCAAGTCCCTGTCTTTAAAAAATAAAAATGGAATGGAGATGTAGCTTTGTAAGAATGCCATGGGTTCAATCCCCAGTACCATAGGAGACATTGTATTTATATATTATAAATTAGACTCTATTACTGAATCATATTAAAGAAAATATCATGTTACTGGTTACTCTGTTATCTGGGCTCTGATTTATATATCCTTTCATTTTTTTTTTAAGACAGGGTCTTTCTGTGTAGTTTAGGCTGTGCTTGAGCTCACGTTGTAACCCAGACTGGCCTCAAACTCTCAGCAGCCTCCTGCTTCAGCCTCCCAAGTGCTAGGCGTGTGCCACCACATCCAACTTATATATCCTTTTAAAAGCCTACATTTTTTAGTAATTGGTTTTCAGACTTAAATACCCCCTCCCCCAAAGTAAATTTCACTCAAAACCTTCGGTATATAAAACAGAAAGTATGGAAAGAATTGTGTTGGTAGAAATCAGAAGTGGGAAACCTGAGATCCCTGCTCATTCAGCGTTTTCTCTGACCTAGGAACCTTGGTGCCACTGCAAACAAAACCTGTATAGCATACAGGTAGAATTGTAGTTTAGATATATTTGTGGTCATTTCAAAGGTTTAATACTAGGCTTTTAACATTATAACTGTCATTTCTATGAGAAAATCAGGTTTACTGTTTTTCAGTTTACAGGACCTTTTCCTAAGATAGGAATCTGATGTGAAAGAAGATAGGCCTGTAATGAGTTGTTTAATCATGGTTTGATTACCTATAAGATAACAAATCCTTGAATTTTTCTCAAAGTATTTTTTTATATGGTTTGTCAGGAGTGACTTAAAATCTTTTCTACTTAACGAATTTCAGGTTCTAGAAAGTATTTGCCTTTTTATGAACTATTGCTATTTGTCTTACATTGACTTTCAAATTGTTTTTAATAAAGGCTTTATTGAAAAGGCTTGAAGCTGTGAAGCCCACAGTTGGTATGAAACGCTCAGAACAGCTGATGGATTATCATCGCAATATGGGTTATCTCAACCCAGCACCTTCCTCCAGAAGAGTGAGATCTATGCTTGGCCAGTATAGCCCATTAAGTAAGCATATTCAAAACTATTTTGTACTTGTTGATATTTTTTATCCTTTTTTTTTTTTTTTAATGTAACCTATGTCCTCATGATACAGATTTTAAAATGTTAACTTCAGGAATTCTGTTATTTTTTGCTGGCACATTTTGTTTTATTTGTGTTCACTTAATCTCAGGTTTTATGTACAACATGTAATGGTAGCATAGTAAGGAATCCAAGAGTTAAAACAACTGAAAGTACTAGTAGTTTCTAGATAATGAAGGAGGTTTCTGTTTTGTTTTGTTTTTTTGGTAACAGGGATCAAACTTGGGACCTTGCGCTTGTGAGAGAGGCGCAGTGCCACTGAGCTAAATCCCTAGCTCTAAAGGAGGGGTTTTTAAAATTTAACATGTTTATTAAAGGAAGAAATTAAAGAAGTGCTATTTGACATTGGCTGAAACAGTCCCCCTTAGCCATTTAGGAAGTATTGCTAATATCTCCTAGCTGTAATACATGTTTTTTTTGCCTTCACTGGGTGGGTACTTAGCACAAAATTTAACAAATTGTAGTCATCAGATATAATACCTCCTAATGTTAGATATGTGATTATCTGCAGATCTCTAGCCAGTTGTATACTCTCAGAGAATACAGGAATGGAGTGACTGCTTAGTGCCAGGGTATGCAACAACTAGATAGACAAACACTTTTTTTGATTCCCATGACCTCTAACATGCTAAACAAGTGTTCAGCCACTGAGCTACATCCCAAGCCCTTTTTCTTTTTTTTTTAATTTTTATTTTTTGGGTGGTGGGGAGATAGGTTCTTACTAGGTTGCCCAGGCTGGCTTCAAACTTGGGATCCTCCTGTTTCAACCTTCTGAGTAGCTGGGATTACAGGCCAGACACTTTCCTTTACTTGAAGTTTTTGCTGTTACTTCACATGTGCATTCTAAACTATAGATATAAAAAAATAGAAGCCATACTAAAGAAAGCTGGAACTACTTCTAGTGCCACCACTTCTCAGTGTTCAGGTGAGTCTCATACACTCAAATGACTGGCAGTTCCATCTATTCATTTTACAAATACTGATTTTTACAAAAATGTGTTGTGACTGAGACAGGATCTATCTAGATCCAGTGACCTCTGTTTAGTGTTGTGCCTTGAGTGTAATAAATTATTTGTTGAATAAATACAAAAATGGTTATGCAAAATGGTTTTCTTTTTTCACATTGGTTATTTGAGCAGCTTTTAAGTGCCACTGCTTTTAAGCATTTCAGTGTACTTCTGGTTTAAGAATCATTTCATTGGACTATTGGATGTACAAGAGATGAAGATGATAACCTACCTAGTCTAGGCCAGGGAGAGGAAGCTTATCATATGATGACTCACATTTAGTTTGAATAATTGAAATGCTCTCTTCTTTGTGTGTGTGTGGGTGTGTGTGTGTGTGTGTGTGTGTGTGTGGTTTTGTTTGTTTGTTTGTTTGTTTTGGTATCATATATTGAACTTGGGTCCTTGCACTTGCAAGGCAGGCAGCAGAACCAGTGAGCTAAATCCCTGGCCCTCTTCTTTGTGTTTTTAGGAGGAGCTTCCCGGACATCCAGTGCTACCAGTGGCCTCAGTTGTAAGACTGAGCCGTCAGGTTCTGACACATCTAACAACCTGTTGCTGAGACCCAAACCTAATGTCCGTGCTGCTTGGTTATAAAGCCTTTTTCTTTTTACTGTAAACATTTTTCATCCAATTTTTATTGATGTGTTTTTGTATATTACTGTAATTCTCTGTGTAAACATCCGCAATACTTAAGCAGTTCAGAATACACAGCAGTGAGTTGTACTTTATTGCTTGCTATTCAGTGCAAAATTGTTGTCAAAATGACAATGTAAGTCAGTGTTTCCTATGAGAATGTATTTATATGAAGTGTATATGTATTTATTAGAGGAATGGTACCATAGTATGCATGTGTATTTCCTTATTATAGTAATAGAGTTGTCATGCTGACGAAGCAGTAGTAATAATATCATTGCATGTTGCACCAAGATGTTCACTGTATAATTCTCATTTTATATTTTTGTTTCTTGTACACTTTAAACCATGAGCTTACCATCTGAATTTGATTGACGTTTTTTTCCATTTGCTTTAGGACTTAGGTGGAGTGAGTCATAACCAGATTGTGAAAAGTGCACTTTATTTTTATGAAACAAATTTTGAAATGTGTTTTGTGGGTAGAGCTGAATTAGATTTGGTAAGCATATTGAGAGAAGCTTGTCCTGGGACCTTAGAATTCATCTGAGGTATCTCATACTTCTATGTAAGAGCACTGAGTTAGGTCTTCAAAATTTGATTAGCCACTTCAAACCATTTGATACTGTGAATATTAGAAAGTTCAACTTAGAAACCCCTCTCTTGTGTTTAAATGATTTAGAGAAAGGAGGTGGGCTTTAGAACTATAATCTACTGTCTTGTGATTAGTTTATCCGCAGACCAGGTCAGTAGCACCACCAGCCGAACAAGTATTTGTTCAATCAGCAATAGCATCGCAAATTTGAAGAGCCAAGAAGCAGATCTCAAGGTATGTCAGAACAGTGTTTTAAGTGTTTCTGTTAGCATATTGTGCTATGATTTAGTATTTTTTATATTGAAAGATGATTTAAAATAAGAAAGCTTTAGAAATTCTAAGTAATATTAATAGGTTCTGCAAATTAAATTTAAACAATAAGGTCATACATTGGTTAGGGCTGTGCCTTTAAATATTAGTTTTTCAGTTTTGGTTTATTTAGTTGAATGTTAGAAGTAGCATTTTTACCAATCACATTGAAAGGACTCGTAATCTTGATGGATTTGTTAGTGAAAGATAGGGTATAATACAGTGGACTTCTTGAAATTAGAATATTTTTCTGCCATTTCACAGGCTCTTAATTAATACAGCAAACTATGGTCTTTTATTACTGTTTTTTATTACTGGCCTTTTCAGTATATCCTTAGAATATATAGGAAAGTTTTCATTTTATATGGTAAATCTTTCCTTTTTAATGCTAATTTTCTGCAGGCATAGTAAGATTTATGTTTTAGTTTTTAGTGTTCAAGCTCTGTAGCATGTTCGCTACATTTACTTTTCTTAGCACATTTAGTAGAAAGACAAACTATATTTTTCTAAACATCAATTTATAATTTATTGGCCTGAGTTTGTATTCATAGATTTCGTTTAGAATAAGACTATATATATAAAGCATGGAAACACTGGGGTTAAAGTCATCAACCTGACCACAGATTTTTCTGCTGTTTTCCTTGGGCTGTAACATTTTTCTACATTATTTGATACTTTTTTTTTAGAAAATAAAATTTTACCCTTGTTTTATATGAAAGCTTTAGCTAATCTAAACAAAGGTTTTCTTTTGTTAACTCATACTTCTAATGTTTGTGTAACAGTTTTTCTTTAAAGAGAGATAAGATAATGCTGAATTTAAAACTTAGCATTTGGATATTTGCCCAATAGGGAATCAGTTCTTTAAAATGGATTTTTACTGGTGGGGGTATGTGTATACACACAGAATCTTTTATATAGCAGTAGTCTCAATACATTCTGTATAATGTCTGCTGCCAGCTGTCAGCATACAACACATAGCTTCATAGATAAAGCTGTTCTTTGATTTTAGATACCAATTTAATACCTTTAATTTTTACAACTTTGAGAGGTAAAGTTGTGTATTACCAATAACATAGATTCAACTTTGAATGAAAGTTGGAAAGAGCAATGGTCTTTTTAAAACAAAATTTACAATTTTATTTTCATAGTTGCATATGAAGATAGGTAACTGTATAGGCATTGGAAATGTGTTATCTGATATATGTCAAGGTACTTTGAAAATTGTTACAGTTTAAGTGACACTTAATGGTGGAATCATAAATACATTCTCTTATCTAGAGCATAAAAAAGTGAAGGATAATCTAGCCTAATTTCATATTTGATTGACTTGAAGCTAATATACATACCTGAAGATTTACATCTATACTAGAAAGTATGCAATCTGAGGCCTAGTTTAAACTATTAAAATTAATTTCTTAAGGGTTAAGCTATTAGCTTATTTTTCTCCTACTTACTTTTTCAATCTCCATGAAAAGCTGCTTTGATAGATACTACTCCAAATAAAGTTTTCTAGTCTGCTTATTGATGTGGTGTAATGGAGTTGTTTTTGGTGCATTAACTGAAGTGTCCAAAATAGTACCTAGACAACTTTAAGAAGGTGATTGTGATGGATGTGATTATATGCTTCTCATCTTCAGATTCAAACTCTACAGCACTGAGAAGTGTTAAGACTGATAAAAAGTTAAAGGTGTGAGTTCATCATATTTTAATATTTAAATCTCTAAAAAGTTTACTGTGTGAAATGCCAAAGTCTGTACCTATAATGACTGTGTGCCATCTTGGAAAATGTGCTTAATGCTAATGGCTGCTTAGAATACTGTGAATAAAGATTAGTAAAATACTTAAAAATCAATATCTTTTTACAATTTCCTAGTCTGTTGTAATGTATTTTAGGCAAGAAGAACTGACTTTGCCTAGGGGAGAAAGAAATAAAAGAATTAAAGATAACTGATTTCTGACCCTATGTCTGTCTCTAAAATGCATTGTCTTATTTCTGTTTTTAAAATTAGAATATGGCTGGGTGTGATGGCACATACCTATAGTCCCACAATCTAGGAGGTTGAGGCAGGAGGATTGCTGCAAGTTTGAGGCCAGCTTGGCTACATAGTGAGTTCAAGGTCAGCCTGAATGACACAGTTAGACCCTGTCTCAAAAAAAAAAAAAAAAGAATAAGTAAATAAAATTAGAATAATGACCTCTATGTACCTTACAAAAGTAAGAATTAGTAAGAATGAAGTTGGCAGGAAGGTATGAACTATTTATAGTTTTGAAAGGATGACACTTAGAAATAATTTGCTTTAAGTGATAATCCTGGTCAACATTTCTTTAAACTATATCACCTGATTCATTTGTAAAATTGTTAATGGTGCTACAGTACAATAGACATTCTTTTACAGATTGAAGGAATGTGTTTTAAAAAGTAGCTGTGTACATGTCATTTGTATGGTATATATACCATAAGTAGTAAATGTTCTTTCTAAAATTTGGTGTTGATACATCAATTTAGGAGGTCTTTGTTGCTTTTGTTGCTTTAATGGGGATTAAATTGAAATAATGCCCTTGAAATAAATGACTGAATAGCCCCTGCAGTAGCATAAATGAGCTCTCAACTACAAAGTTAAAAAAGATTCTTTTTTTTTTTTTTTTTTTTTTTTTTTTTTTTTGTATCGGGGATCGAACTTCGGTCCTTGTGCTTGCAAGGCAGGTGGCAGCACCACTAAGCTAAATTGCTGGCTGCAAAAGATTCTTAACAGCAGACAGCATTCTGTCATGGCCAAAAATTTTATTTGAGTTTTAAAATTCTGGTAGTGTTTTTTAAATCCACTTAAGAGATATTTCTGGAATCAATATGATAGACTGTTAATGTTCTATGCCTCTTTCAAAACCCATTTGGCAAATTCAAACCTATTTGGCAAATTCAGGTAGTTGCAATTTTTATTCTAGACAATATTTTGAAGTTTTACTGCTTTACAAAATAAAACTTAGGTAATTTGTCACTATTACACTATAATAAGATTTTTTTCACATGAATCTAAAACCACATCCACCATTTTAAGATGGTAAAAGAATTTGGATAGTCATCAGAAAACAATTAAAAGTTAATGGTGCTAAATTCTTAAATTGTATGATAAAATCAAATAAATTATAACATAATAAAATTATAATATAAATTATATTATAATGATAAACCCATGGTTCATTTCACCAATTTTGGAATTAGCTCATTTCCAAGTTTGAAATATATCATTTATTTTTTTGATATTATTCTAAGAATGTTTCTGTTTCATGTAAAAAATATCCAGAATTAAGTATAGTATCTCTCCTCAGTTCCCCTGTAGTATCTAGAAAAACCTATTGACTTAAGATTTCACTTTAAATTACTTTTTTGGTAATGTGAGAGAGGATTGTTTTTTAGGTAAATGTGTATGAGAGAGATATTTCATAGAATTTGAGGTTTTGTTAACTTTATCAAAGAGGAGTACAAAACCTTAATGTAAATGTACAACTTGTTGGTTGCCACAAAACAGACACCTGGGTTATCACTACCCAGATCCAAAGTGGTATTCCCAAGATCTCTGGGGGATTCTTTTCAGACTTTAGCCTATTTCCCTGCAAAATAACACATACTCTCTTTAACACTAGTTTTTCTTGCTTCCAAGCTTCATATAAATGGTAATATGTTCTTTAGTGTGTGACTTTTTGCTTAACATACTGGTTTATGGGATTCTTCCATGTTATGTGTAACTATGACTTATTTTTATTTCTATATAGTATTCTGTTGCTTGACTATATCATGATTTATTTATTTATCTGTTGTGTGGTGGGAGTGACTCTTAAGGTTTTTACTTGGAAGGCTAGTGTATAGATGTGCCTTGATTGACCTGCATCGTTTTTGGTTTTGTTTGGCCACATATGTAGGAGTGGAGTTGCTAGATCACAACATGTGTCTGTGTGTTGTAGATAATGCTAGAGTTGTCTAGAGCGCATGTATCACTTTACTGTCAGAAATGTATCAGTTCCTATTGCTCCATATCCACACTAGTATTTCAGTCCTGTTTTAAAGTTTTAAGTCAGGCTAATGTAATACATCTTAGTGTGATTTTAATTGCCTACTCTAATAATACATGGAAAACTTGCTTTTTATTGGCCACTGAAATATATTCATTTGTAAAGTGATTTTTCAAGTTTCTTGCTTTTTTGGGGGGGTGCTGGGGATTGAACTCAGGACCTTGTGCTTGCAAGTGGCACCACGGAGCTAAATCCCTGGCCCTTTTCTTGCCAAATTTTGTATTGGGGAAATTTTTTTTTCCTTCTTGATTTGCAGAAGTACTTATATGTTTTGGACCCAAGTACAATCCCTGTGTGAATTATGTATTTTCATCCAATCTGGCTTTTCACCTTATTATAAATGCTGTTTTGGGGGTTTTGTTTTGTTTTTTTTGATACCAGGAATCAAACTCAATGACCTTGCACTTGGGAGGAAGGCACGGTGCCACTGAGCTAAGTCCCTGGCTCTAAATGGTCTTCAGCACAGCCTTTTCTTAGTGGTTAATAGTTTTTCAATGTTGAATTTTATAAAATTTTCCTTTACCTAAGGACATGAAGATATTCTGCTGTATTATTGTTATTACTATTAACTTTGTTTAACAGTGGCAAAGTTTTATTTTTCTTAAAGGCAGGAAAAAACAGGCTCCACAGAGTGAGTTTGGGCCAAGTAAAAATAGGAAAAAAGGGAGAAACAAATTTTAAAGATTCACTCTAGACGAGAGCATATGGTGGGCTTCTGTGAAGAGACACAGTAGCACATGCTTAATGGTGACTGGCCCCCCTATTTCCCACATCAGCGTTATGTCCAGGTCATCCTATCAAAACTTGCTCGAGTTCTTATGAGAAGTCCACATGCAAGGCCTTGGGAATGGTTCTGTACATGTGTCTGAGTATTTCCTCATACTTCCTTTCTAACAACTAGATTTAGCTCCCCTTAATGACCCTGGATTCCAGTCTTTGTCCCTCTTATCTAGGAAGTTTCAGATTCTCTTTTCAGTTCCTTAGCCTCTCAACTGTCTTCAAAATTAGCAGACACCTGTTGGAGGAAAAGTTGGACCCAAAATACCAGACTTGTTCCCTGGATTTTCATTTTCTCCTGAAAGTTGTGGCCCCATAATTTTCTATGCCTTGGTAGCTCCTTGGTGCCTTCAAGCAGGTTTTTATTTTAAATAGTTTGACCCCCGTTTCTGTTTTCTGAGGGAGTATTCACTCAAATTATCTATACCAATATGGAAATCCGACAGAGGTTATATTTTGTTTCAAAAGAAAATTTTTAGATCTTACAATAAAACTGCCAGCTCAGTTGTGTTAATCTTAAATCTGAAGCTGTTTGGGTAGCCATCAAGTGAAGCAGTTATTTTTTCTTCCCCCCCTGAATCCCCACCAGAGTTGGAAATGACAATTAATGTGATTCTTTCCCCTTAGTTTCAGCAGTGACAGAGTCCTGAAAGTAATCCTACTCTCTTCTCATTTTGCTCTTCTCCTTTAAAGCCACACCAAGCCCCACAGATAGTCCTTCCATCATCCTGTTGATGCTGCTTTCTTTTGGGGCCATAATTATTCCTTTCTTCCATTACTGTCTCTTGCCCCGCCACCCATTCTTTCTGCGAAAGTGTTAAAATTGAAATCTGACCATGTAATTCCTAAAAATGTCAGTGGCTCTCTGTAGATTACTGTGTGAAATAGAAGTTCTTCAGAATAGCAAACTAAGCACTTTATTATTTACCCTTGCCCCTCATGGCTTCCCCATGTCTTTCAGAGCTGCTCCTGGGACATAGAATTCATCTCATGTCTTAGCCTGTATGGCTTTTCGTAATGCTGAGCCAGTAAGACTGATTATGCCAGTGTCATTCCACCCTTGTCTTTACCTAGCTAACTGATGTCTATTCATTATGAAAGAATTCCTGAGTCAATTCTCCAGGAAGCCTGCCTTAATTTATAAATGCTTTAGGGGCATACTTCATATTTATTTGATTGTATATCCTCAGAAGCTAGCAAGCACACTAAGTGTTGGAATGAAGAAAATGAGAACCAAGACCTGTCATGTGAAGGTACAGGATCCCAGTAATGAATGTAACTATATTGTATACCTAGATTGTACCAATAAACTCAATAAAAAGAAAAATAAGACAGAATAAAAAGGATATAATATGTTATAATAAAATGATGGATAACATCACTGGTCATTTGAGAGATGCAGATGAAAACAACACTGAGATTCCACCTCACCCCACAAAGAATGGCTGCTATCAAGAAATCACACAATAACAAATGTTGGTGGGGTTGTGGGGAGAAAGGAACCCTTCTCCATTGTTGGTGGGAGTGCAGACTGGTGCAACCACTATGGAAATCAATATGGAGATACCTCAAAGAGCTGGGACTAGAGGTTCCATTTGACCCAGCCATCCCTCTGCTGGGTATCTTTCCAAAAGAATTAAAAGCATATCACAGTGATATATGCACACCAGAGTTTATAGCAGCACAGTTTGTAATAGCTAAAACTTGGAAACAGCCCATTTGCCCATCAGTTGGAGACTGGATAAAGCAGATGTGTGTTTTCTATAAAATGTAATACTACTCAGCCATAAAGAATGAGAAATTAGAGTCATTCATAGGAAAATGGCTACATATTGAGGATATACTCAAGTGAAATAAATAAGTCACGTGTAAAAACTGAATAGTTTCTCTGGTGTGAAAAACTATATACAAGACCCTAATGGGATAATTAATAAAGTGAAATAGGAAGAAAAGGGCTAAAGGTGTAGGGAAAGTGGGAAGGGTAGGGGAAAGGGAATAAGGGAAAAGAAGAAAAAATGGAAATAAATTGTTTGTAAATGGGAAGGGGAGGAGGGAGTGAAGGGAGGGCAGGGACAAGGGAAAAAAATGAGAACCAAGACCTGTCATGTAAAGGTACAAGATCCCAGTAATGA